TATACTTAAACTTCTCTTGAGCACTGATACTTCTTTGAAATGAGCAGTCAAAACTCTTCAAGGCATCTTTACAAAAGAGAAGTAAAGATCAAAGTCAAGCTGCGAAGATATTAATTAAAATATATGATGCTACTTACCCCCCAAAATTAAAGGGCTCACAATGCAATCAATCCTGTTAGGATTAGCATGAGCTTATAGCCAATTTTGTGTCAGATTTGGATGCTAAAATTAAAAGAAGTAATTTATTGTTGTTATCAAAAATGAAAAATCGTGTTTGAAAATAATTAGCACTCTGTGTCCTTATTCTTCATTCTTTGGCTTCCACAGACCCATAGTAATGAGAATGAAATAGTAAAGATATGAAATATTGAAGATATCATTCATTACTGGTCAATAGAATGTAACTGGTCTCTTGTCTCGTTGTTCATGATGAAAAAAGACCAAACAAATAGGAACTAGTCAAATAAGGCAAGAACATATGAAGATTTTCTTTTAATGGAACTCAAATAGAAATCCTCTGTGGTTATTTCTTCGTATTATAGTTCTTGAAAAGCACTCTATTTATTCTGAAAACAATTCTTCTTCTGAACTAGGAGAGCCTCTCACGTGACTTTTATTCCTGGGCATCTCTGGTTCCTTCAAGCTCAGGCAGAATTTCAGAAAGGGAAAAGAAGATGTGCAGACATGCTGCTCTCCCAACATCAGTGATCACTTCAAACATTTGAACTCACTGGGTGTTTATACCTGAATGCTTTCTGACCTATGATTTGAACACTCAGGTCAGAGAAGGATAGACAAGGCAGGCTGGGAAGTTGCCCAGTGTATTTTCTGTTCGTGTGACTCTGTCTGTGTCATGGCATTAAAGATGAATGCCCATAATGTAAGTCAGATTTTCCGTTTCATGAATGTATTCAGGCTGAAGTCAGGAAGGCACTTTGCTTCTCACTTTTTTATTCTCCTTCTTCTTCTACATTCACCATGCCTGGCTTTCCAGACACTGTCAATAACAAATCAGAACTCTATAATTTTTGAAACCACAGCAAAAGAAATTATTTAGTACAAAGGATTTTTTAATTTTTTTATAAAAACATCAATCTTTTATTTTTTATTTTTTCAGAAACATAGCACACGTTTCATTTTCACGGACAGATTTATTTACTCATATAAAATACTGCTTAGTGGGTTATAGAATCAAAAATTATATTTGTTATATCATCTATATTTTAAATAGAAAGGGCTAAATTTTAAAAACAGTATATAGTTATAAATGCATAATTATATATAGTTATATAATATAAACTAGAAAACTAAGACACACGCCCCAAAAATAAATAAATACTTAAGTTCAATAAAAGACTTCAGCAGAGGAATATAAAGAGAACCTACAGAATGAGAAAAAAATTTGGACGACGACATCTGGCAATGAACTTGATGTGTAGCTAGATTAGAGATAAAACGTGCGCTAGTGGCTATCGGCTGGCTGGGCCACCAAAAAGGGGTTGCAGCAAAGTCAGGCACCAATCATACCCCAGGGGAAAACACCTAGGCGCCAGCGTTGTGACATCACACAGGTGCACCTGAACTCAGTCAATAAGGACGGCCAGTACCCTCAACCACGCCCCCTCCAGTAATGGAGGCGGAGGACAAAGGCAGGGCCCAGGCTTTGCGCCCTCTCTTGGCCCCTTTGGGTTTCCTGCTCTTGGTTCTGCCCAATTAGTTGTGTCCTGTTGTTCCAGTGTTCTTTTCAGGTGGTTCTTTGGCTCCCTGAAGTGGCCATCTTCAGTTGTGAGCTCTCAAACACTTCTGGCCCGGCTTTATACGCTTTCCAGGAATAGTGTGTACATTCTGAGAGCGCAATACCAGAAACTTCCCTTTCCACCGTAAAAGTTACTTGCATTTACAAAGGTGCTTCTGCCGTGTGAATTCTTCCAACGTTGAGAAGCAGACCCGAAGTAAACTACCTCAGAGGTAAGCCTAACAAATTGATCTCTAAAATGTATAGAAAAATTCAACAACAGCAAAAACAGACATGAACAGACACTTCTCCAAAGAAGATATTCCAGTGCTAGAAATGCATGAAGATGATAGCTCATTAAGGAGATTCAAATCAGAACTACAGTGAGGTACCTACCGCCTCCCCCGGCACAGTGGCAGTCAGCTTGGATACCCACCGGATAGGGCATTAGTACTCTGAGCTGCCAAAGTGAGTCTGAATCAACTTAATGGCAATGAGTTTTATTTAGTTCTTGGAATTTTGTCTGATAGACATGACTTAGTTTACTATCACACTTCCATGGATGCGGCTCTGAAAGAGATCAGGAAGCTGACACATAGAACCAAATCTATATTCTCAGATGAGAACAATCAATTACTGTTATTTAAAATGCCCTTTTGTTTCTTTCTGCAGCCCTGGTGGCACTGTGAGAGAAGCATTGGGCCACAAGGTGGGAAGTGCAAATCCATCAGTCACCCATTTGAGAAAGACGCCGCTATTTGCTCCTGTAAAGTATCACAGCCTCAGAAAATCTATATAGGATTGCTATGAGTTGGAATCCACTCGATGGAAGTGGGTGTAGGCAGTGGATTTTTTTCATTTAAAGTACCTAGACCAAACCACATAGTCACTGCCATTGAGTCAATCCTGATTCACAGTGATCCTATAGGGCAGCACAGAACTGCCCTGTGGGTTTCCAAGGCTGTAAATCTTCACCAAAGTAGAAAGCCACATCTTCTCTTATGGAGCTGCTGGGGATTTGAACTGCTGACCTTGGGGTTAGCAGCCCTACTCCTGACCCCGTGGCCAATCAGGGCTCTTTTTTAAAGATGTGTGTGTACTCCCCTAAAAGCATGAGGGGTGCCTACATGTATAACTTTTAGAAAGACAGACAACCTGACCAGTAATAATATGGAAAAAAATTGAACGTTAAACTGACTATTCAAAGTCTCATCATTCACTTTTGCAACCCCAGAAAAAAAAATTTTTGATAATTGTTCTTGCTGCTCTTTCTCTAATTCTGCCTATTTTTTTGTTCCTCTGATTCTATTTTTGTCAAAGGCAGAGAGAACTCTGGAGAAAGCAGCTTGTGTTCTGAACTGTCTCAAAGCAGCAGTCCTAGTTCATTTTCTCTCACATGTTTGTTGGTGAGAATTTGTCACAGGTACAATCTGCATAGAGACTGTGAACTATAGAGACACTCTAAGACTACTGATGCTCTGTTGCTGCATAAAAAATGGGTAGTCCAAGAATAATGGCTTACACCCTTTATGTAGTGAAACTGCCTAGTTCTGAGGGAAGAGTACAGCCAGGAGGAATCACTGTTGACTTCAATGACTAGGTCCAGGGCCTCTGCTGAGATGGCTTGAATGACTTGGCATTAAATGGGTAGAAGTTAACAGAGTCGCTCTTTGCTCTAGCTCTTTCCCACATCCCTAGCTTCTCAATGTGGTTGACATATGCCTCTTCAACAGGGAAATCTCAGCATATTTTTTATATGATAACACAGAGACCAACAGACCAAGGTAGAAGTTTCTAGTGTTTTGTTTTCCTCTTTAATATAGGCCCAGAAATGGCATTAACATTACCTCTCCCATCCTGTGTTAGCACACTGACATGACTTTCCTGCTTAAGGTGAATAGAAAATAGGCCCCACTTGACTCCCTGAGTGGCCTAAATGGTGTGCATGCTCTAAGTGGAAGGTCAAAGGTTTGAATCCACTGTGAAGTGCCTTGGAAGAAAGGCTTGGCAATTGACTTCAAAAGAACCAGCCATTGAAATCCTATGGAGGATGATGCTGATCTAACACACACAGAATCAGTACACCTTGGAGTCAGCTAAACAACCAGTGGTTTTTTTTCTCAGTGAGAAGAGGACATGGACTTTGTGGACATTCTTAATCCAGGCAGTCCCACCACCTGCCTCAAATAGTTTACATTGGCCCCTCAAATAAAATTCACTAATTTATCCTGCTAGTATTCCTAAAATTTCAGCACATTATAGCAACAGTTCAAGGTCTAGCTCTTTTCATCATGTCAAGGTGCAAAAGAGTTTCCTGCATATAATTCCTAAAGTATGGTTCCTTTAAGAGCTGAAGGACTTTTAGCTACTAAAACATCATGTTGTTTCTTCATCAAAAATTAAACACACAATGGTAAAATAGACAAACCTTAACTGTAATAGATGATACCATTCATAAAGAAGTCATAGAACAGTCATAAAGAGACTGTCTTAAATCTAGTCAGACATTGGGCCTCCACTCAAGTACTCCCTCAATGCAAGAATACTTTGTTCTATTAAACTCTGATTCTATGATGTTCACCTTCCCAACATGATCACTGAAGACAAATGGGTGCATAAACAAATGTGGTGAGGAAAGCTGATGGTGCCTGGCTATCAAAAGATATAGCATCTGGGGTCTTGAAGGCTTGAAGGTAAACAAGAGGCCAACAACGTGAAAAGCAACAAAGCCCACATGGAAGGAGCACACCAGCATCCGTGAACATCAGGTGCCAAAGGGATCAGTTATCAGG